TGCTATCAAAACAGAGATAACTCATGGGAGGGCACCCCATGGGAGGCTGCAAAAATAAGTGTGAAAGAATAACAGGGAAATGAGGCCAAGGTCAGGGTCCCTTGTCTCTGGCTTGAACTCACTGCTTTTGCTCTGTCCTCCCCTGGTTCTCATGGAATGCTGTTGTTTGTGAAATTTCAGAAAGACCAAACTCATTTCTTTGTTGGTGTTAGAGGTGGGCTTTCCACTGGCCCCTGTTCATCCAGGCTGGCCTCCTGGAGTCAGGGAAGAGGCTGAAAAAACACTTGGACAAAGATGAGGTGTTCTCTGCTCCTACCAAAGAGCTGGGATCTGGGGAGCGCTCCTCTGGAGCCTCCATGGGTTCTGGGCTTCTGCTGAGTCAGCACTGTGTGAGCCAGCGGCCATTGTGTTCTCCATCCTGGTGTGACGTGTCTCCATTCAACTGATGAGAGAGTCCTCTACAAAGAGGATCCCCAGGGCCCTTCTCATTACCTCTCCTGACTCCTTATTCTCCTTGACCTTCAATACATTTCACTTTGGGAAATTATGTTAAAATAAAAAAAATAATAATATTAATAACTCACATTTACATAGGACCATGTACTTTACATCCTCACAACAATGCTGTGTGAGGTATTGCCATGCCCATTTTTTGAGATGAGGAAACTGAGGGTCAGAAAAATTAAGGTCATACAGCTAATAAATGCCTGAGGCAGGATTTGAGCCTGCGTCTTCCTGACCCCAACTCAAGCACTTTATTCACCACACCATGCAGGTTACAATGGAAGCAGCACTTGCCTTAAGTCAGAGGACCTGGCCTCTGATGCTTACTATCTGTCACTTCACCTGCCCGTGACTCAGTTTCCTCAGATGTAAAAGAGAGCATTGGACTAGATAGCATCAGAGGTCCCTCTTAGCTCTAGATCTATGATCCTATAGGGAAACCAAGGCCTATAGAGAGTAAGTGGTTTGCCTAAGGTCACACAGAGCTGGGATTTGAACCCAGACCCTTTGACCCCAAATCTAGTACTCTCTCTCTGCTTCACTCTAAGGTGTCAACCAAGAGGCTGTAGATCAAACATCTGCTTCACATTGACTTTTAGCCAATTCAAGGCAACTTTTATTATTAAGGATTTCCTATGTGCAAAGCACTTACACTAGACTATTATTATTATTGACTTATTATTAAGACTTCTGTTATTAAGTACCTACTATGTACAAAGCACTTGCAATAGACAATCGTTATTAAGTCAATATTAGGATTTTTGTTACTAAGTGCCTACTACATGCTAGGTTGTGCAGTGGATAGAGCACTGGGCTGAGAATCAGGAAGATTCATCTTCCCACGTTCAAATCTGTTCTTAGACACTTACTAGCTGCATGACCTTGGGCAAGTCACTTAACCCTGTTTGCCTCAGTTTCCTTATCTGTAAAATGAACTAGAGAAAGAAGTGGAAAACCACTCCAGTATCTGTGCCAAGAAAACTCCAAAATGGGCTCACAAAGAGTTGGATTCTAGGGATACAAGAACAATATAGTTCCTACTTACACTTTATTGTGGGTTGGGAGGATACGGCATTTATAAAAATTCACATAATGTAAGGAAAGTTGAGGAAGAAGGGGACAATGGTGGGAGGGGGCAGCTCATAAAGGTCTTTGAGAAGGAGCCTTGAAAGAAGATTCTGAGACTGAGATGACCAGGGATGACATTCCTGGCCTGGGGGACAGACACACAAATTCGGAGCCAGCCGTGGTGCTGAATTCCACATATGAATGGGATGCTTCCTAACCTGTCTCCCCACCTCTCCTCTCCTTCCGTCATCAGACTGTTGGGCAGAACTTCTCTCTGTAAAGATCTAACCTTGTCACTCCTGTGTTCAGAATTCTGTTCCTAACCAAGCCAAGTCCATCAAACCCTGGGTCCAGGGCTAGCAGGGACCCCCTCACATCATAGGTGAGGACGCTGAGGTGTACAAGGGACCTCCAAAGCCATCTACTCCAACTCCCTCATTTTGCCTGTGAGCAAACTTGCCTAGGACCTCACAGCTAGTAAACAGCAGCGGTGGAATTTGAACCCAGGTCCTGACTCTAGAGCCAGTGCTCTTTTTATTGTACCACCCACACTCCCTAAGATAAATTCAGGCACCTTCTTGGTTATTAAGCCACCACCACACAAGCCAATCCCAGGGCCAGCTTGTGTCCCATAGACATACCCTACACTCTCCTGGTTTCATGCCTTTTGTTCATACTGACCCATTCTTTATTTCTTCTTTCTTTTTTTTAATGTAAAACATTTCTGTATTAGTCATTTTTTACAAGAAGACTCAAATAAAAGAAAAAATGAAAGAGTGAAAATAGCATGCTTCAGTCTGTATTCAGTCCATATCAGCTCTTTCTCTGGAGACAGATAGTATGCTTCATCATGAGTCCTTTGGGATTTTCATGGCTCGTTGCATTGCTGAGATTAGCTAAGTCATTCACAATTCTTCATTGTACAGTATTGCTGTTGCTGTGTACAGCATTCTCCTGGTTCTGTTCACTTCACTATGCATCAGTTTGTGTCAGTCTTTCCAGGTTTTTCTGAAATCATCCTGCTTGTCATTTCTTTTTCTTTTCTTTTTTTTTTCCTTAGGCAATGGGGTTAAGTGACTTGCCCAGGGTCACACAGCTAGTAAGTGTCATGCATTTGGTCTGAGGCTGGATTTGAACTCAGGTCCTCTTGACTTCAGGTCCAGTGCTCTATCCACTGTGCCACCTAGCTGCCCCTTGCTTTTCATTTCTTACAGCACAATAATAAACCATTACAATCATATACCACAGTTTGTTTAGCCATTCCCAATTGATGGGCATCCCTTTGGTTTCCAATTCTTAGCCACCACAAAAAGAGCTGCTATAAATATTTTTGTACAAATAGGTCCTTTCCCCGTTTTTTTGGATTTCTTTGGGATAGAGATCTAGCAGCTGACCCATCCTTTAAAGACTCGCTCAAATGCCACCTACTTCATGAAGCCTTCCATGATTACTCTCATTAAAATCCCTTACCATCCTCCTCACTCATAGCACTTTCACAACTCTCATACGAACATATCAAGTCATTTTTTGTGTGGCGTTTATCTCTTTATGTATCATTTACTAGACTGTAAGCTCTGGGAGGGCAGGGACCATGTATCATGTGAACTTCGTATTTCTTCCCAGGTCCTGACACTCTTCTCTGTACACAATTGGTCCATAATTGTTGAATTGATTCAACAAACATTTATTAAACACCTACTATGTGCCAGGAACTCTGCAAGGGCCTGGGAATGCTTCCTCAGATGTCTGATCTCATTGTTGCAAGTACTTTTCTCAGCTATACAGATTCCAATGCCTTTATCCATCTCTCCTCCTGGGCAGCTCTTGTCTGTGTCTTTTTGTAAACCTCCGTGGCCCCCAGTAAAATGTTGGGTTGGTCTAGATGACCCAAAGTCCCTTCTACTAGTTCTAGATGGACACTACGGGTGCCTAGCCTCCAGCCTCGTTCAGTCTATCTTGGCAGAAGAAGTACTAACAGTTTCTAAGGCAGGAGGGGCTGGGTGTTCACCCCACCCCCTCAGAAGCATTCCAGCCAGTGACACATGGCAAAGGCAGCGTTGATATTCCAACGGGTGAAGGCATTTGTTAGCCGTAGCTTCTGGTTGGGATTCTTTTGCCGTGCCTTGGCAGCAAATGCTAGCGAGCCCCTGGGGAGTTGGGTGATGGCAGTGGCAACTGCCTGGGATTAACTGGGTCTGTCTTGACCATCAGCTGGTTATGATCACTCTAATTTCACAGTGTGACCGGCCTACTGCTGCTTCCTCTCCCTGACATTCTGTCTCCCACCCCCAGGCCTGTAATGCTCTGCTTTCCTGCCTCTTGGAAACCCCAAGTCTATTCCAGATTCAGCTCAAGGGCCATAGGAGGCCTTTTCTCATTGCTGATACCCCATTAATCAATAATTAATTAATCAGCAAGTATTTATTAAGCCACCTGCCATGTGCCGGGGCAGCTAGGTGGTACAGTGGATAGAGTGCTGGCCTTGGAGTCAGGAAGATGAGTCTTCCTGAGTTCAAATCTGGCCTCAGACACTGACAAGCTCAGACACTGACTGCCTCAGACCATTACCAGCTGTGTGACCCTGGGCAAGTCACTTCATCCTGTTTGCCTCAGTTTCCCCATCTTAAAAAGAGCTGGAGAAGGAAATGGCAAACCACTCCAGCATCTTTTTCAAGAAAACCCCAAATGGGATTGTGAAGAGTTGGACATGACTGAAAAACAACTGAACAACAACAACTGTGTGCCCGGCACTGTGTTATGTAAATACATTTTGTATATACTTAAGTGCACATATTGGGCATCCCAGTAGAATATGAATTCCTTGAGGGCAGAGACAGTTATATTTTTGTCTTTGTAGTATATCGGCCATCACGGCTAATAACAACTAACATTTATGTAGAACTTCAAGGTTTGTAAAGCCCTTTACATGTGCCATTTCATTGGATCCTCCAGACATCCCTTTGGAATAGATGCTTTTATTATCCCCATTTTACAGATGAGGAGACTGAGGCAGAGAGAGGCTAAGTATCTTGCCCAGGGTCCCACAGCTGGTAATGGTCTGAGGCAGGATTTGAACTCAGATTTCTTGACCCCCAAGTCTAACACTGGGCCTAGAGCTTGGCACACACAGGTCCTTAGTGCTTATGGAAGTGATCACTGTTGACCTGGTGGGCTCTCCTGTACTCCACAAGTTTTCACATACGGTAACATCTTGGGTATAACACAGGGTTGTCAGGACTCTCCCAACACTCTGTGAAAAGCGCTCGGCAAACCTTAGAGCCCCTTCTATAAAATATGAGCTGTTGTTGTTAGAGTTGCCCATGTGGGACCTGGTTACTGCTGTGCCCTGGGAGGGGAAGGGAAGCACCATCCCTGCGGCAGGACCACCAAAATTCACCTGGATTCGCTTTTGTTTCTCTCTCCCCCAGGCTCCTGTTCGGCACCCTCTATCCTGCGTATTACTCTTACAAGGCAGTGAAGTCCAAGGACATTAAAGAATATGTAAGTAGCCCTGTTTTTCGCCTGAGTGTTCTGGGGGGTGCTCTGGGCCAGGGGCTGGAGGGGCTTAGAAGGGGGGGAGGGAGACGAACCGGCAACAGGCAGTGAGCTCTAGTGAAGAGGGAGCAAGCCTGTTGTTGGCTGTGTGACCTTGGGTAGGCAAATCACTTAACCTCTTTGGCCTTAGTTTTCTTCTCCAGTGTGATTTTTTTTTTCCTGTCCTGGGAGGCAGCCACCACTGAACTTCACAATCCTGGTCTACTGGTTCCTCTGTGGATCAGAGGCTGCTAGGTTTGGGGCTGTGGCTCAGCTCCCCCAAAATCCTTCAAGATACTCACTCATTTATGCCTAGCCCCAGCCCTGGTACAACCAGGTCCCTCCTGGGTGAGGTCTGGCTTCAAGCGGGAGGACTGCCACCTTTCTCCATCACCTGTAGGCCCCTTTGTTAAGTGAGGAGACAAGGGAAATGGAAAGTAGACCTAGGCATAAGAGAAAGGGGTGAGAGATGCTCAGGCCCTAAGGATTCTATTGGTATCTGGAGCCTTCTGATAAGGAAACTCTACCAACCCAGCTTTGCCATTATAGCCGAGAGCAGAGCTTCCAGTCATTAACCTAGGCACTGGGCTGTGCTGGCAGAACAAATTACAGGTGACCTCTGCTTTCTTAGGGAGAACTAATGGTACTGAGTCTCCCCCAGACTTAGTGGAGTCTGCTGCCAAATGCTTATGACACTTACTGGCTTTGCAACCCAGAGATGCTCTGACCCTCAGTTTCTTCATCTGTAAAATGGGGATAATAGTAGCATCTGCCTCACCAGGCTCTTGTGAGGATCAAATATGATAATATGTATGATACAAAGTGCATTGTAAACCTTAAAGTGCTATGTGAACGCTAGCCAATATTATTAACATTTGTAATTATTAATATTGATAATAGCATTTAAATAGTGCTTTAAGAATATCTTATTTATTGTTATCATTATTTTAAATAAATTTATTATTATTACTATCTACCTAGACAGTGTAATAGGGTAGTTGACTTGGCATCCAGAAGACTTGAATTCAAATCTCCCCTCAGACAGCTAACCATGTGACCTTAGGCAAGTTGATTACATCTGAGGTTCAGTTTTCTTATCTGTAAGACGGGGGTGACCAATAGCTCCTACCTCACAGGGCTGTTGTAAGGCTCCAATGAGGTAACATGTTCAACATAAAGCACTTTTTAAGCCTCAGCGCAAGGGTTTCCCCACAACCTGGTACCACGTAGGGAGCAGGAGAGGGATGGTACCGGGAAGGAAAGGTTATGTGGACATGCTTCTTTTTGTTCCCCTAAATCTCCCTGCTAGGCTGTCAAAGTGCCTATGTTTTAATATTAATTTTATTTTAATTTTAATATTAAATTGTTTAATACTAATTCCTTGGGGTCCGAAGGCTCAGTTTGAAGGAGTCGCCTCTTAGCATGTTAACACATCCTGGGAAAGGTAACACCTGAAGCAAACATCTTAGGTTATTAATGATTATCTTACCTGAAGTAATTTTTCTACAGTGACAGCTGGCCCTATGAAATTGGAACATATTCTTTTATGTTAAAATTTAAAATCAGCTGTGTGACCCTGGGCAAGTCACTTAACCTTGATTGCCTCACCAAAAAGCAATATGTACGTAATCATTTTCCTCTACTTAGTTCAGGACCCCCACCCCGCCTGGGTTGCTTCCTCTCAGTCAGAGACTGAGAATGTTGTGACCCCATTGGATGTAGAATCAAAGGCCGATGGGTCAGACACTCCCGTATATGGAGACATTTTCTCATTTTCCTCTCAGATTCTCAGGTTCAACAGACAGGGAATCCCAACTAGACCTAGGCTCTAGGAACAGGGGAGAGGGGGGTTGTTCTCGGTCCTAGATTTATGATCTAGACAGGAAATCAACTTTCCCAGCTTCCCCTCCCAGGGGGAGTCACCTCAGTTGAGGTCGGCAGCCTTGGCTGTTTCCTCCTTATGGATGCGCTGACTTTCCCCTGGGTTGCCTTCCTGGCTCCAGGCTTCCCAAGAGTCTTGCTCTGTGATGCCTTGGCTTCAGGGTGGCCCTGGTCATGAGGTCTGCATCCCCTTCTCCATCCCCTTCCCCCTGCTGCTCCCTTCCCTCTCCCCAGAAATCTAGAAGACAGGAAGAGGACCCCATCCCCTTAGAAAGTGTCCCTTTATCCTGTGGTGTGGCTGGGACTAAATGAAGTGTGGGAGGGGTAACAAATTTTTCATGCCAGGATCATTAGAAATGGCTTTGCCGGTCTCATCTCTCTCCATGAATGACCTCCCGGGACGCGCGAAAAGACAATTCAAGGAGATAAACAGGGCAAGCAGGGGCACAGGTTACCCCTCTGTGATGAAACAGGGCATCCCAAGCCCTGCCTCTACTTGCCTTGGGTAGCTCTTTGATACCAGCATCTGAGGACCAGCATGGGACGACTGTGTGTTCCAAACCAGCTTCTCCTTTTCATCCTGGGCTTGCTCCTTCCTTCTCATAGAATGTAAGCTCCTGGAGGGCAGGGAACATTGTACTTTGGGCTTTGTAATGCCAGCACCTCACACAGAGTAGGTGCTTAATAAATAACTTGTTAATTGAATGTAAGATCCTTGAATGTTGGGTTGCTTTATTTTTTATATTTATGTCCCCAGTAGAAGGGATACAAGTAGAGTTCCTGGCACACAGTAGGCGCTTAATAAATGCTTGTTGATTGATTGCCCTGTAACATGGGGGTAATAACACTACCTGCCTCAGAGAGGGCTCCCGAGGAAGTTGTTTTATAAGGGACTTTGGACATGAGACTTGTTATTTTCTGATGCTCCTGGGCTCCACCAATGTCAAGTTTAAGGCCCAAACATTTTTGTCGCTGGGTGATGGACTTCAGAGGCATGAAAATCTAAGTTTGAAGTATTTGGTCTCTGTCAAAGTTAAAACCTTTCACTTTCGCTCTCTGCGCATCCTGCTTTCTTTCCCTTTTTTGTTAGCCATAGAGTAATTGAAGGACAGTCTCTTTTTGAGGATGGGCCTCATGGCGGGCAAGATATAGGCCCTACATAGGGGAGGTCCTATTCCCCCTCAGCTCTGTGAGGGAACAGCCTTTGATGAATGGTTCTCACTCATCCTGACTTGGTAGTAATTAGCAATGAGAAATGTAGTTGCTAGGCAGACTGGCTCCTTGTGTTGGCCGGTCAGTGCATCCTCTTCCCAGGAGGGAAGTTGACTTGAAGACTGAGATAAGATGGGAAATCATTTAAGTATGGAATCAAACCATTGGGAACTGCAAGGTCTTAAGTGATTTTCAAATTGTGGTAGCTCAGTGCACCCTTACCTACTGAAGGCATATGAACTAAGTGAGCCAGGTGTTATTAAGTTCCTACCTTGTGAAGAGCATTTTAGTGGACACTCTTAGGGATGGACCAAAAGAATCTAAACCCCAAACATGTATATATTTGTAAAATCATTGTCAAATAATAAAATAAAATTATACAAATATAGAATATGTTATCATAGAAATAAAATTATAATTTATAAATTATAAAATTTAAGTCTTTACATATAACTATGTATAATTTCCCCTCATACATTTTCCATTCCAGTTAAACTTGGCTGCTAGATATTCCCCCCCCCCCCGTATAAAATCTCATTTCCTACCTCTGTGTCTTTGGCCACTTGGTGCCTGCTTCTTCCTCACCTTCAAACTGAGGCAAGTCAACAAGAATTTGTTAAGTGCTTACAATGTTCTAGGCATTGGGCTAAGAGCTAGAATTGCTAATATCCTTCAAGGTTTTTCCTGATTTCTCCCAAGTTGTTTCTGCTCTCTTTAAATCACTTGTATATATTTTGTGTTTACTTATCTGCTCCTGTTGTATCCCTCTCCCTTCCCAGTAGAATGTAAGCTCCTTGAGGGCAGGGACTGTTTTGTTTTTTGCCTTTGTATCCAATGCACCTAGTGCTGGTGCCTGTAACAGATGCTTAATAAATATGGTTGAATTAATGCCTATGCATATTAATAGATGATAAAATCTTATCAGAGTAACCGCTCCAAGATGGTGGTTACTATTTTCAGCCTGGGAAAAAACCTAAACATCATTTGATTTTTATGAGGCATTAATAACCTTCAGGTCCGCCACCTGGTGAAAGGGATTAGCTTTTGTCCTGCTTGGCCTCAGAGAGCAGAAACGGGTCAGGACAGGTGGACATTGCAAAGAAGCAAATTTAGCTTTGACGTCCTTCCTAGAGCTGCTTCAGAGTGGAAAGGCTTGCTTCAAGGTCAGTGGCTCCCCTCAGCAGAGGTTTGGGAGCAGAGGGCCCACGACTGCTCATTCTGTCAATACAGGGGATGTTTATTCAGATATGGGTTGGAGTAGATGACCTCCATGGCCCTTCTATCTCTGAGCTTTTGGTAATGGCTAAGCAGTCATTTCATATGGTTTATGTTTACTTTGTCTGTATTAAATATATTAAGTGCCTTGCATTTATACTTTATCTATATATATACACATACATATATGTGTGTATGAGCAATGGACTGTGTATGTGTGTGTATATAATATGTATATGGTTTATATATAATATATATGTTATATATGTATGTGTATATAATTATATATATATATGGCTTTTCTTTCCCTTCCCTTCTTGTTTTCCCTCTCTTCCCTTCCCTCCCTTTTCCTTTCCTTCTCTATCTCCCCTTGTGCAACTTAATAATCCTATGAGGGATTCTGTGTCATGGACGTCTTTGTTAACCTGGTAAAGCCTATGGATCCTTGCTCAGAATACTATTTTTAAATGCACAAAATATATAGAATTACCAAAGAAACCAATCATATAGAATGAGTTATAAACTCTATGTATGTGTGTCTGCAAATTTTTATTCATTCATTATTTATTTATGCATGAATGTATGTTCATGAGCCCCAAGTGACCAAGCCTTGTCTGAAGGGAGCTGCTTAGATGACATGAAAGGTTAAGTGACATTTT